TTTTTTTCTTTTATCAGCAGATACTCTTAGTTCTTTGCACCTTATAGCTGACCTATTTGGCAAATCTGTTTGAAACTCTGCTTTCAGAACTCTTGAGCTGCTATTTTTGAGGACTTTTGTCTCCAGATCTTTGTACCAATTTGGTTTTCGTCCTCTTCCCTTATATCCTCTAATAGTTTTGACTTGTTGCCATGTTAGCAGGATGTTATTGTTTCTTGTAATTAGTTGCTCTAATATAAAAATATTCATGTTGTTACTGTTTCTGTAGTTGATTATTTCTTTTCTCTCTAATATACTCGAAAGACTCATGCCTTTTAGGTTTAGACTAGTTTCGTAAAAACTGCTTTCTTGAAAACTAAAATCTAGTTTTTTTGCCTCTGCTATCACTTTAAAAGCTAGGTTATGTCTGAGAACTATATCCTCTAACTTTGCTTCACTACTAGTTATATTACTTATACAAGTACTTTTACGTTGTGCTTTTTTAATTCTGAGTCTTGTAGTAATTCCTAGCTCATCTTGTCTATTCATACATATTGTCAGTTCTGTAATATGGTATACTAACTGATTCTGCCAGATTGTATGCATTCCTAATATTTTTAAATGACTACATATACTATTTGGAGCTGACTTTGCTAGACCTAATTTGTTTTTGATTAGTATCCAAATTAGCCTTTGAATACACTTGCATGTATTTTTAGAGAGAAATGAGGTTTGAAGCCTATATTCAATACTCAGTAGTAGAACACTATTATTTAAATAAACTAGCTGGCTTACTGAAGCTTTTTTCCACAGAATAGCTTTACACATTTTTGCAACCTCTTTTGAGATGATTAGTTCATTGCATTCTTTTCCACCTTTTTTAAATATCCATACTCCGAGCTGTCTTATTGCTTCTTTTTCTTTTTTTGCTTGTACTATATCTTTGTTTTTACCTAGACTGATTTCTGGTATATAATTTACTTTCCTTCCTTTGTCTTTGAGGTTCAATACCAAAAGCTCTGATTTTTTACTATTAATTTCAATATCATTAAGTTCGTAAAACTCTATTGATATATCAATAATTTTTTGTAACTCTTCTTTCAATCTTGCTATCCAGGTGGTATCATCTGTGTAAGCTAATACTCCTTGCTGCTAGTATATTACTTGAGTTCTGTTTGAGCTTAGATCAGAAGGCCATTCTGAGTCTATAATATATCCTATATTTTCTTCCTTATGGATTAAGCATAATAAAGGATTGTAGAAGATCCGTCACATTAGCGGTGAAACTACCTCTTCTTGGTCAAAACTATTTTCTGCTACGAATTCTTGAGTCAGACTATATTCTGTAATAACCTTAATTCTTCTTTTATTATACAGGCTAAGGAGGAAGCTTATTGTTTTTTTGGGAAGTTTAATTCTTCTCAGTATTTTATCCAACATTTCTAAGCTTACTGAGTCAAATACTTTTTTCATATTTTGAAACAAGATCCAAACTTCTTTGCTCTTTTGTCTTGCATCTTCAAAGATATTATTCATAATATGAATAGGGCTTGCTATACTGTCTCCTGTTAACTCTGTGTAGTTAGGACCCTCTAATACTTTGTGTGTGACTAGAATATGATCTAATCTTGTGTTAAGTATTCTGACTAAGGTTTTTCAGAAAACTTCTAGGAGTACAATTGGTCTAACATTTGAGAGATCGTAATTCCAATCTTCATTCTTAGGGATTGGATATAGCTGACCTATTTTCTGCTTGACTGGAATATCTCCTGTAGCTAGGCACCGATCTGCTAATATTGTAAAGATTTTTTAGGCTACCTTTCACACTCTCTTAATTAGAGGATAGCTTATTTCTGATACTTCTGGTGCTGATTTGTTTTTTGTTTTGCTAAAGGTGTTTCTCCATTCTTCTTCTGTAACTTAGTCAGATAAGTTAGAGTAAATATCTTTACTTAGCTTTTCTATAAGATTATAAGCCCTAATCTATTTTGAGAATGAGAAGTTTTGTTTTGTGTTATGCTTTCGAAATTGCTTCATAAAGTGTGATCATACTTCACTTTGTACTTCACTTTCTTCTGTAAGCAAAACTTTCTCTTCTCCTCTAGCTTTCATTATTCTGTCAATTTTGACTTTTTTGGAAGGCCTTTTGAGAAGACTATTAAGCATATGCTTTAGCTCTCCTTGAATTGCTTCACATCAAGTATCAATATACATATTTATGTTTGCAAGTTCTTCTTTTTTCCTTTCTTGTTGTGCTTTAGCGTTAAGGATTTTCTACTAGTCTTTAAGGTCCTCATGTCTATTGGTAGTCTATTGCTCTTCTGTTATCTGCTCTATTTGAGTTTCATATTTTTTATTAAGACTAACTATCTTTGAATTTGCCAGATGATATTCTTCATTATCTATATTTTGATCTAATTTTCTAGTACAAATATAACAAATCTTCCCTAGATTTTTTAGATTTTTTTGGATTTTATTGCTAGTACTCAGCTTCTTTAGAAGTACTTTGTTTGCAGATATCTTTTGGTTTAGAAGAGTAGCATATGCACTTTATATAATCTTATTTGCGATAATATTTCATAGTTCATCTATGTTTTATTTATACAGATTTCTTTTAGAGGTTTGTTATTGCTTTCTATATTGAGCTTTTTTATTAACTTTTTATCTAGCTTTGTTCTATAGTTTATCCAATTCTCTTCTTCTGCCTTATCGAGTTTAAGTATTCTTTTCTTCTCTTTTGTATGTTTCTCTTTTGCTAGTGAGTTTGTTTTTTGTACTATCTCTGTACCTAGACTTGCTGATACAAAATTGTGATCACTTCCTGTGATGTACTCTGCTTCTGCTATCTCACATTTCAAGATACACTGACATAATTTGCTTGAGGCCCAGATGTAGTCTATTCTTGTACTAGCTATCTTGTTCATCCATATAAACTCTTTTTTATATAGGTATATTACTCTGAATATGTCTTTAAGGCTTGAGTTTTCTAACTATCTTAGGAGAGAGAGAGACTGTTTTCTACTTGAGGCATTGTTGTTTTAATCCAAGTCTTTGAATCTGATATTATTAAAGTCACCTATGATGATAACTCTAATATTGTCTCTCTTACAATCTCTAATTTTTCTGATTACTTGCTGTTAGATTTTCTTCTTTTCTTCTTTATTGTTTAGTAAGATATATATATAAATCACTAGTAATTTATACTTTTTAAATAATATTAATATGTCGATATAGTAGTTATTACTGTAGATTCCCGAAAATAAGCTACCTTTTTTTGGCTGATTTTAAATTAAAAAAATCAGAAATAGCTTATTTTCGGGATATAGAAGTTTTTAAGCAATTTATGCTTAACGATAGGGTAGCTTATTATCAGGTATTTATTTTAAAAAACTAGTTTTGTTTTTGTATAGCCTTTGTTTTACTTTATTTAACTTATTTTTACTTGAAATATTTTGTTTTATATAACACCCGGATTCACAAAAGCAGGTATATCTTAAAAATTTTTTGTAGAATCTCTTTTTTTTTTAAAAAAAAAAAAGAATTCGTCATTCAATACACAAAACTTTAGTTTTTTTGATATTGTTACGACCAGGTGATAAGCTTTATATCTACATAGCTAATTTTGCTTAGGGTCATAAGCATTAAATTGAGAAACCAAGTATTTTATTATCATACACAAGGCACCAAAAAATACAAATAACACAAGCGATACAAGTAAGTATCTTATTATTATATTCCAACACCCGATATACTAAACAAAGTACCAATATCCAATTTCTAACTCCCAAACTAAGACTAAAAATGCATACAAATCTACTAACTACCCAAAGTACTATAACCCTAGATTTATAGTTACTATTAGGCTCTAAATAAGTTATATACATGTAGTACGTATAACAATATAAAGTCTAATTAAAGTGTACTTTATGATTATAAACTTCATATAGACTACGTATCATAAGGTTATATGAATCAATTGTTACTTTGTTACTTTATTTATAACCTGAAAAGGATAATAGTCTCAATATACACAACGATAAATAAAGAATATCAGCTTTAGTCAACAATTCAAAAAAAATACCACTTGCTACATGTGAAAATTTCACTTACATAATGACTTGAAAAAGATACACAGCATAAATATTTATACATTATATACAATTTTAAAACTGTTGAATTGTCGTTATGTTGAATGTTAGAACACTATCAATTAGTTGAATGTTATCAATTAATATAAAAACCTCAAGAATTTTTTCAGTAAAAAAAAAAAAAAAATGTAATAAAAATCAACTCTTTTACTTATCTAACATAACTTAGATTTCAAAAAACTAGGCATAAATTTTTAGAAAAAAAAAAATCACTTGCCAAACACAATAGAAAAAAAAAACTTTACTACTCATCTTTTTTTTTTCTAAGAAAATTTTTTTCTTGTCAACCCAGTTTTAAAAGAACCTTCAATCTTTTTTTTTTTTTTTTTTTGAAAAAAAAAAATGAAAAGGCAAAGAAATTCTTACACAGTCGAGGAAAAGAATAAGGCCATAGAATTGGTTTGTTGTACTTCAAATTCACATGCAGTACAGTACTACTCTCTGGATTTAACCATACTTGGTCGTTGGGTTAAGAAGTTTTCTAAAAACCCACCTTCTTTTTCTCAAAAAAACGTGTGAAGCATTGGCTCTGGGCATCGCTCACTTTTTTCTGAAGAAGAGTCTCAACTTTTTGAGTGGATAATGGAAGTTCGCCAGAATAGTCTTGCAGTTACTTACACTAATATAAAATTTAAAATGGCCAAAATCTTGAATAAAAGTACTAAACAAACAAAAGATAAATCTAAAAAGCTTGCAATTGAAAAGTTTAAGCTCTCAACACACTGGGTTAGTCGTTTTTTAAAACAGCATGATCTTTCTCTCAGACGTAAGACCAAAATCGCACAGAAATTACCAGAGAATCTTGAAAATCAACTACTTAACTTTCAGCAGTTTGTTATCTGCTTTTGTCAAAAAAACGATTACTCTCTTGAAATGATTGCAAACATAGATGAGATGCCAGTTTATTTTGATATAGCAAGTGCCATGACCGTGAACACCAAAGGTGCAAAGACTGTTCATGTTAGAACAACTGGGAATGAGAAGAACCGATTTACAGTAGTCTTGACATGCTTTGTTAATGGTAGAAAGCTACCACCAGTTATTATTTTTAAAGGAAAAATTTGGCCAACTAACACGCCATGACCTCCAGCTAATGTAATAGTTTGGTTCCAAGAGAAGAGATAGATGGACGAACAGGGAATGAATCAATGGATAAAGTATTGGAATAATTCTCGACCAGAACCACATAATTCGAAAGCATTGCTAGTCTTAGATTCTTTTTCAGCTCATATTACAGATCAGATAAAGGCAGCATTATGTTCAGGAAATACAGATTTGGCTGTTATTCCTAGGGGTCTTACTAGTATGTGCTAGCCTTTAAAGTGATAGCAGAGGCAAAAAAACTAGGTTTTAGTTTTTAGAAAAGCAGTTTCTATGAAACTAGTCT